GTGACTACTCAATCTGCAGGAGGAGCGTGACTCAAGCAGCTGTATGAATGCGGAATTTGCAACGGCAAAAGTTCACAGCATCTGTGCTACAGGGAGCACGAAAGTCGCGATGAATCCACTGTTCAACGCAAAATCCCGGGTACCGTACGTTGGGCCTACCTGTGGCGCAGGTTAGGTTGAGCCACACTTTGGATCACGTGAGTTGGCACGCCAGAATGACCGTTTGCTTGTGAGAACTGTGTCGGACGTTTTGTCCTCATTTGATTCAAGATCGACGATGCATTTGAGTACCAGTGCCCCTAGTTGTCTGGAAGATTGTGGACATCGTCAATCTAGGATGACACTCACAGTGCTGCCGAGTTCAGGCACAGTAGGTAAGGACACCGACATACGAAGTACCGGCTGACGAAGGGGGCGAGAGAAAGCGGCGATGGGAAATGGTCTCTATGTTCAGAGTGGCCCAAGCTTGTTCAGTCTCGTACAATAAACGCGCGCGAAAGCGCTGTGAATCACGAATACTGAAAACAGCAACAACAAGGAAGAGTGCGCTCAAAGAAGCATGCGTAGGCGTACTTCAAAACGGAAAAACAAGATTATTCAAGTGACCGGGCGCAGCCCGCGACGATGCCAAAGCTTACGACCAGGTCGACTGGACCGCGCGATCGCTAAAGCGCGACCAGGTGGACCTTAGGCGCACCGCGACGACGCTAAGAAGCGCGACCAGGGGTCGAGCCTAGCGCACCCCGCGGACGACGCTGAAGCGACGACCAGGTCGACTGGCACCCGCGGACGCTGAAGCGACGACCAGGTCGATCTAGCGCACGCGCGCGATGCTGAGCGACGACCAGGTGCGACCTAGGCACCGCGACGCGCTAGAGCGACGCAGGTTGGCACTAGGCCCCGCGACGGTTAGGAGCGACGACCAGGTTGGCCTAGCGCACCCGCGACGACGCTAGAGCGACGACCAGGTTGGCCTAGCGCACCCGCGACGACGCTAGAGCGACGACCAGGTTGGCCTAGCGCACCCGCGACGACGCTAGAGCGACGACCAGGTTGGCCTAGCGCACCCGCGACGACGCTAGAGCGACGACCAGGTTGGCCTAGCGCACCTGCGACGACGCTAGAGCGACGACCAGGTTGGCCTAGCGCACCCGCGACGACGCTAAAGCGACGACCAGGTCGACCTAGAAAACTGCCGGTTAAAGCGCCATCTCAGGAAAGAGAACAAACAAGCACTAGTAAAGCGACCGGTTCCAACAAAAAAACGCGGATAAACTCACCTCACGTGACTCGTCCAACGGCAAATGGAGTTCCACCCAAAGTCGTTAGCGAGACACAAAGAGCCGTGAAATTTGACACCGCAAACAGATACCGTTGTCCGAAATGCGTGGTGTCATTCTCCGAGCAGCAGCTGGGGCTTCTGCGGAAGCACATGTGGCTCAAGCACCGCCTGCGTCGCAAGACGCACTTTATACCGGTCGCCGCGGATGCCGTTGCCATGGACACTGTTGCCGCGGACGCCGCCACCACAGACGCGACACGCCCCGTCGACCGCGACGACGTGAGACGCCCTGTCGACACGAAAAGGCCCGTCACCCGCAGAGATGCAAGACGCCCCGTCGACCACAGCGACTCGAGACGCCCCATCCACCGCAGCGACGCGAGACGCCCCGTCGACCACAGCGACTCGAGACGCCTCGTCGACCTTGGCGACGCGAGACACCCCGTTGACCGCGGCGACGCAAGACGCCTCGTCGACCTTGGCGATGCGAGACGCCCCGTTGACCGTGGCGACGCGAGACGCCTCGCCGACGTTGGCGACACGAGACGCCCCGTCGACCACAGCGACTCGAGACGCCTCGTCGACCTTGGCGACGCGAGACGCCCCGTTGACCGCGGCGATTTGAGATGCCTCGTCGACCTTGGCGACGCGAGACGCCCCGTTGACCGCAGCGACTCGAGACGCCTCGCCGACGTTGGCGACACGAGACGCCCCGTTGACCGCGGAGGCGCAAAACGCCCTGTCGCCCGCGGCGGCGCGAGACGTCCCGTCGACCTTGGCGACGCGAGACGCCCCGTTTCCCCCCCTGTTTCAAATTGCTGGCTACGCCACTGCACTCCTGATTATATGTCAATCTCTCTTTTGCTCTGTCGCTCTAGCTATAGCTACCTCCCTTTCTTTCTCTCGCTCTATCACTTTCTATTTCTTTTCCTCCAATACCTTCCTATCGAAGTTGCCTAATAGGTGATAGATAAGACGTAAATAGATCGTCAGCTAGTGAATGTTGAATAGGTATAAGAGAAGAGAGTTGAAGTCAGTATAGGTAGATGGGGATGGTAGGTGCCTACTGTACTGTTTTGTTGCTGGGAGACAGGTTGGAATCTCATTGATTTTTAATATTTCTAGTGATTTTCTGCGCTATCCAAGTAACCGAATAAACGTTAGAAATTACAATTTAAAATAAAAAAATAAAATTCAAAACAATTTTTGTGGTAGAATCATCCACGAGTGTAAATTATTTTTAGTTTTGTTTTTCATTTTATTATGGCAATTTCCAATATTCCTAGTCATTTTCTGCGCTATCGAACGCAGTATAACGCAGAGTAACAGAATAATATTAGGACGTTAGAAATTACAATATTTAATAAAACAATAAAATCGAAAAGAAAAGCTTTGTTCTTTTACTAGGCACCAGATGGCAGCACCGATGCTTACGGGAGTATCCATCGTCTTTACTTGAGTTGAGGTAATTGCCGTTATTGTCTTTTTGCTTTAAAGTTCTTTCGAATTAATTTACTCGCTTGATTATACATATTGAATGAATTGGCGGGTTCTTTACTCAAGCCTGTAGCTGTGGCTGTATGTAAAGTATACGTGCGAAGTTCAAAACGCGAATGTTTTCTGTGTTTTGCAACGCCAACGGTTTATTGTTCACGACATTGCTGCCTTTCTCTTGTTCGCCACAGCTTGTGGCGAACAAGGGCTAGCGTACTACTACTACTACTACTACTACTACTACTACTACTACTACTAGTAGTAGTACTACTAGAGCTAAATGTTACTACTACTAACACCTGCCTATTATTACTGATAATTCTCTGTAACGGTTCACATTGGAATGACCACAGGCACTTGAAGCGTTTCAATAAAATATATAAATGCTAACTAAATACGAAATCTATTTACTACCAAATTCTGAATGTTTCTATACTCTCTTTCACCTGTTATTGCCGACAGTTTCCTGTAAATTCCGTCCAAATCCTACGTCCAACCATACGCTGCCGGCGCCATTGCTTTCACGGCGCGACTGTTGCACGCTTACACTAATATATATAGCAGGTAGGAAAGCGCGATCGCAAAATTCGCTTGACGCTCGCTGGATTTCACACTTTCACAGCACCAATACACATCCAACAGCTTCCATCTTTGTTTCTCTTTCAACAACATTGTTCACTTGTTATAAAAACATACTGTCTCTGTTCGTAACCGAGCTGTGTCACGCGAAATCACACAAAGACTGACAAAATGCTCGCGTTCGCGAACCTTCTACAGTAATGTAAATGGCTGTCAGAATCAGGAAACGCCTACCGGCGCTCTTCGTGACCTCATTCTTGCGCTGCAACGTTTTTGCAACATTCCAATGGCGAGGCTTGTACAGGAGTTGGAAAGTAGTGCGCCGCCTATAGTCCATAGACTGGCATTGCTCCCACCTCTCAGCTTAGCTTAGTCACTCGATGGGTAATCGAGGTGGGAGCGAGTCCCAGTCTATATAGCCCTGATTCTGATAGCCATTTACATTACTGTGGAAGGTTCGCGAACGCGAGAATTTCGTCAGTCTTTGAGTGATTTTGCGTGACACAGCTCGGTTACGAACAGAGAGAGTATGTTTTTATAACAAGTGAACACTGTTGTTGAAAGAGAAACAAAGATGGACATATATGTTATATATATTAGTGTAAGCGTGCAACAGTCGCGCCGCGAAAGCAATGGCGCCGGCAGCGTATGGTTGGACGGAATTTACAGGAAACTGTTCGCAATAATAGGTGAAAGAGAGTATAGAAACATTAAGAATTTGGTAGTAAATAGATTTTGTATTTAGTTAGCATTATATTTTATTGAAACGCTTCAAGTGCCTGTGGGAATGACACATGCGTCTAAACAGAGGAATTGCTCTGACCTGTGATTGGAGCATAAAAATAGAATTCGTGACGTTTCGTTTTTTATTTTGCATACCCCGCCGCATACGCTATGACCGGTAGGAAAGTGTACTAACTATGATTACTATCATATGGCGCGAACGACTTGAGTTACATTTCTATAAATTCTAGCTATTATAGGCAGATATTTATAGCAATGTAACTCAAATCGTTTGTGCCATATGATAGTGCCATAGAACACATTCCTACCGACCATAGCCGCGCGTATATTAGCCTATGAGCGATACCGCGCATGCATGTTTGCTAATTAATTAGACTAATCGTGCTTCAATAGATTCAAAATTCACAGAGATTAAGGCTAAGACATCTGTCTATTATAGCTAGAATTTATAGAAATGCAGCTCAAGTCTTAGCCTTAATCTCTGTGAATTTTGAGTCTATTGAAGCACGATTAGTCTAATTAATTAGCAAATATGCATGCGCGGTATCGCTCATAGGCTAACATACGCGCGGCTATGGCCGGTAGGAATGTGTACTAACTATCATATGGCACAAACGATTTGAGTTGCATTGCTATAAATTCTAGCTATTAGTAATAGTCAGGGTTCTCCCTACGTTGCGCAAATGGGGCGCCCGCGCCCCGTTTGGGGAAACTCCCCCCTGTTTGAATCGTTGCGCCCCGTTTGGGAAAACTCCCCCCTGTTTGAATCGTTGCGCCCCGTTT